AAGCCTCCCACTAAATGGGATGTGTATGTTCTTGTATTAGGGAGATGCTGGAAGAAAGCCTTCTTTACTCAGGGCTGAACAAACCCAGCTCCCACAGCCTGTCTTTATAGGGGAAGTGCTCCAGCCCTCTAATCTTTGTAAAACCTTATGTTGAGTAGGTTATTACTCTGTGACCAGTAACGTCATCAAGAATAGAAATAGGAAATGAGCAATTTTAGCCAACTTTATCTATAATTCTCATGGTCATGTGCCTGTATGAAAGTATATGTTGTAGTATTTGAAGATGATGTTAATTTATTCCATTTATTAATGCATAAGTAGTTAAATTATTTTTGTTTTCTCATCTCAGAGTATAATAGCAACCTGCTGCTTTGGTGTGAATTACTTATCCAGCAAGAATGTTGTGAAGAGACTCAGTTTCATAAATCTAGCTTCATTAGACACATGATGTCATAATGATTCTTGAACATTTTTTTTTTTTGTTAGATTTGTGAATGAGCTGGTGATTGTTGCTTGGCTATTTCTGGAAGACTGAGGTTATTCTCTTAACTAAAAATATAAAACTTATTAAATATTGCCTTGCTTTTGCCTTTTAGGGCCTCCTGACAGAACTTCTGAATAACTGTGATGGACAACTGAAAGGAGAAGTTGCACAGATGGCAGCCTTCTATGAACACCGCTTGCAACTGGGCAGCAAAGCCATTTATCATCTTGAAGCATTTGTAGCAAAGTTTATGGCAATTTACAAGAAATTTATGGAGGATGGACTAGATGACATGATGTTCTAAGCCCAATACCTGTAGTTGTATGCAGAATGTTGTGTCATATGTATGTATGCCATATTAGTTTTCTGCTGTCCATGTCTGTTGGCATGTGGGTCTAGTTCAAAGTCAAATATTTTATTTGATTATGGATATAAACCACAATGAACTAAAGAACAGTGTTAAGTTTTGGCAACCAGATGGATTGTTTAACAGCATCAGTAGATGTATGGAAAATACCTTGTGCTTTCAGAAAGGCAAAAGATTGCTTCTGAAGATGGATAAGATGGTAGTCTACTTGTAGTATTTGTAGTATTCTTACATTAAGAAGACAGAATGTGCTTCTTGGTTTTTTTTAATTGTTCAGGTCCAGAACTGTTAGCAAGACGTATCCATGTTGTAAATTGCTGTTTGAACATGTATGTATATATTTTGCCTACTCGTATATCTCATTATGTCTGTGTATCTCATTTCTTTGTTTTAGCCACAATATTGTCAGTGATGTGGTGACACAATGTTTTCTGACTCACATTTGTAAGCAGTTGTGTCGAAATTAGATGAGTAATACTTTTGTCTTGCTTGTAAGTCAGTTGGACAGCATCAAACTTTGTTTAAAAGGAATGTGTCCATATAAATGAAGACCACATGCCAGCTGACACTTTCATGTTGTTTCCAACGTACATAACTGCTCAGGTAAAGATTATTCCTTTGACTCTGGTATAATCAGTGGTAAGGTTTCAAATTTTAACAAGTACATCTTCTTAAGAAGCGGAAGAAAAGAATGTGAACAAGTTAAATGCTGAATTAGTGTTTTATGCCATGTAGATGATTACCTTATACCAGGTATATGCATTCATTTACTTTGATGTAAACTGTCTTTCAGAAAAGTGGGGCAATACTCCCTAGTGCAAGTCTTTGGGGAAACATCAAAGTAAAGGAAGCCATACCAATTTGTTCTGCAAGTCTTTCACATGTTATTCCTATGTACCATGTGTTCCCTAGGACTGACTAAATTAATGTTGTCACTTTCACTTGTCTGATTTAGACAACTGCTAGATATGTGGAAAAAAAATATTATATAGAAATAAATTAAATTCCCAATTGCCTCTCCTCATTCATAGTCTCTAGAATCTTGAGCATTCATGTGTATTCTTATGTGTATACATACCTTCCTGTTCAGTGCTAGTGTGCTTTATAGTGAACTGGTTTCGTGATTGAGGAAGTCTAGAGGATAGACTTTCTTTACTCTTGTGCCACAAATCTACAGTGTTGTGAGAATCCAGACTGACTGATGTAGATCCCCAGAAAACTCATTTTGTTAATTCTGAAATAAGTTGGCAGAATTAATAGTTGTGGAGACAAATGCTCAAATATTTTACAAGAGAGAGCACAGAACTGAGAAAGGGGGCCATAATTACAACATGTACTAATTGCCTGCTCTTTCAGGAGGCTAGTCTATACTCATTTTCAAAACCAACCATGACTTGCTTATTGCCTACTGTAACTCGAGGAAGTCATGACAAGGCTAAGTGACACCACTTACGTATATATTTGCTTTTACTTCTAATCCATTGTCTGTGGAAAGAATGTGAAAGGGTATGAAAGGCATCATGACTTGGAAAACTTAGTGAACCTGCCTCCCTATTCCCATCCTGCTTTCTATGAGTTAAAGCAGTTTTCTGTTCTTCATCTTTTATCTATTACTGTGTTTTAAAATTGTATCAGCTGTGGTTTAATGTCCTGCTCTGTGAATCATTCTCATAAATTAAGCAGGATCAGTATTGACATGGAGAAGAGAGAGAAGATGTGTCAGTTGGAGACGGTGATTGTTGCTTCAAAGGACCTCACTTGCTCAATGCAGAAGTTTAACTGCATAACTGTGTGGCTGTGCTTCATCTAGTTGAGTGGTTTCATTTTTGTTGTGCTCTACCTCACCTGGGACGAGTAATCAAGGATGGGGAAGAAAAAGGGTAATGATCGATGATGGAGAAAATGGCTGATGCTGTTCCAGGATGCTGCTGTTTCTTTCTGTTGATCCTGCTTCTTCATGTGCTGTAGCCTGGAACACACAAACTTAAATATGCAGGCACAGAATCTCTTAAGTCTATACATGTCTCCTGCAGTGCCTGTATTCTTAAAAGAAGAAGTGTGTTTGTTTCCAGGACAACTAGTAAGTGGTAGAATTTTTCAACACAAAAATCTTTCAGTCCGTGTGCTTAGAGGTAGTCATCAAAGCAGAATAGCCTGAGTTGGAAGGGAAACACAAGGATATCAAATTCAACTTCTGGCTCCATGCAGCACCACCCAAATTCCAGACCCTACATCTGTGAGTGTTGTTCAAATGCTCCTTGAACTCCAGCAGGTTTGGCACTGCTGCCCTGCAGAGCCTGTGTATCAGCAAGTGGGGTTGATGGGATGGTATGAGCAGGTGGTTACCAGGAAAAAATGGAGACTTCTGCTGGTTTTTCCACTTATATAGTGCTATTACATGTAGCCTAATACATCTACCACAAAAGCAGAACCTTTGTGGGGTGAGGAAGCATCTTGGTGTGGGTATTAATGCTTCCTGTATGTGTGTAAATGCACAACATTCTTCGTGACAATGTATGCTGAGCAGTGTGCACCTTCACACACCTAGCAGGAGAGGCAGTCAGAAAGACTTCTAAACACTGAATAGCACGGAACTTCTAGGTGATGTTTCTTCAGCTGATTTCACTTTTTGAGATCTGCTTAGAGTTGCTTCTGAGTTGCATGCTGAGAGGATTAGCCTTACTTTCATCCAGCATCACCTCCCGCTACTTCAAAATGAGAACTGAAAACTGCTCCTACTCAGGTGGGACTTAAACTCTGCACAGCCTAAGAGGTTGCACAGGAGTCAGCTTCATGCCAGCACAGAAAGTCAGAGGTGAAAGTTTTTTTATAAAAAAGATCAAGAAACCAAAGATGGTAACCACTTTAGTTAAACTTTCTCTGCTCTGCAAAGATCAGCTGCAAAAAGGCGAGTGGTACAGTCTGGCTTCTCTTTCCCATTTCTGAAATCTGAGTGTTAACTCCTGCAAGGAATATAATTGGGATTTTTTTTATAGGCATCCATGGTAAACAACATTGCTTTAGCATTAATCAGAATAAAAATATCATCTGTTTGGAAGACTGATTTTTAAAGTTTATTTTATTGAATAGATTCACATTAGCAAGGCAGACATGAGGAACGTTCCCTTCTTTACCAAAAAAGTGACCTGATTATTGCAGGTTAGAAGGTAAGATAGATAAGAGTTCATTATCACAAATTTCCCTATCAGTGCAGGGAATTCAAGATTATTATAGTTCATTGATATAAAATAATAACTGCAATTCGTCTTGTTGGAAAGAGCTCTGGTATGCCTGAGCAGTCTTTAATCCTTCTTGCTTAATGCTTTGTGCCTGCACTAACAATTAGTGCTGTATGAATTTATTGCATTGAATTTCAGTCAATGATCCGAAACAAAACCCAAATTGTAGCCCACTAAATAAAAGTTGTCTGAAGATGACAGTGAAATGTTCTTCTAGTTCTTGAAATCACATAATCACAGAATGGCCTAGGTTGAAAGGGATCCCAAAGACGGTGAATCTCCAACCCCCCCTGCCAGAGGCAGGGCCACCAACCTCCTACTAGACTCAGTGCTTCTTTATTTTTCATGTGGAGGGAAGGAAAGCGAGTATATAGGCATGCAAAAGAAATCAGCCTTTACTATCCATGTGCCCTGCAGACTAATCAGTAAATAGTATGTCATCCGAGTTACGTGTCAGGAATTGGTTTCACTTTGCAACATGATAAAGATTAAGGAGTTTGCCATTAACTTCAATATGTTGAAGAATTGACTCAGGTTTGTGTGGCTTTTTTTTTTTTTTTTTTTTTTTTTTTTCTGACATTAAAATTGAAATCATTTTCTGTCCAAACTAATTAGGACAACCAAGCCTAACACATTTGGTATATATATATATTTAAAGCAGTGGATGATTTTCTTATCTGAAAAATGAGCCAATTAGCTATTAAGCATCCTTATAGCAGATTTTCTTCTATGTTTGTGTACAGTGTGTGTTGAACTTCTGAAAGGAATGATCTACTCTGTTTCAGAATCTCTCGAGCAAGAAAAAAATTGTATTAATTACTTGAGTTTTAGATAGTATTTCAGTGGGGATGGGTTTGGATCCTCTCAAGAATGAGTCAGACATAAGATAACACAAGTGAAAGAAGGCTGAAGGTCTTAACTACTGCTTTTGTTGTCCAAATCAAACTGACACCACTGGCCCGTGTGTGTTTCTCTGTGTGGAGGTGCTGAAACACCCCCCAATCCCTGCCCTAAAACACAGCATCTTCAGGTATCCCCAGTATTTATCCTCCTCCCCAGAGCTCCAGGCCGCTGCACGTGAACAAAGCTCGCTGTTTTACATCCAGCAGTGTCAGGGTCTCCTGCCCTGGCACAGTCAGTGCTTCCCAACCCAAAGCATGTCTTCAATTTCCTAGTGTCCCTGCTGTTATTTGGAAGTCTGTGACAGCCAATGAATGGATGTGGTTGTACTTAATGTACTAAAACAGCTTAATGTTGCCAATATAGGCTTTCACCATGAACAACATGGTGAAAGTTGGTGTCCAACTTTCAAAACTGTGTTTGCTGTGTTCACGTGAAATTATTTGTGGTGTAAATTATGAAAGGGACACTTAGCACAGTTCAGGGCACAATTAGTTCAATTCAAGTACAACAAACATTCTGAGAAATCTATGAAATATTTCTAGTAATTTTAGTCACTGGGAATTCTTTTGCAAAACATTGTTTTCAATCTTGAGTGGGGAGGCAGGCAAGGAAATCAGGAACCCAATCAAAGAGAAGAAACAAAGAAGTCAGAAGAATGAAGCAGACAAGGGCAAACCCAGGGGAGGACAGGTACACTCATTAATTGTATTTACATTTCAAAACAAGTTAGCTGCAGGGTTCTTAATCATACCCTACACTTGAGTTCCCTGCCACTCATCAAAAGTAATATGCTTGGTGGAAAGGATGAGTGATCCAATGGGTTTCTTCCATATTTAATTTAATGGGTGATCGTAATTTGAGAGGTCAGTACAAACGTCTATGGTAAATGACAATTTTAGGCCAGCAAACACTAATTAAGACAGAAGTCAAGATGCTGACTAATGCACTTTTGGATATCATATACAACCTTGCAGGAGCTGATTAACTCAAACAGAACACCTTCGTAGGTGATAGCCACCAAATGATACTGGAATAGCTTTTAAATTTGAGAAGGATGAGGGAAAAGGATTTATGAAGCTCTTGGCTGAGTTTTCTCTGGAGAAAGAATTTTGATAATAAGTAGGATTAGCTCTTTGCCAATTAGCAGGCAATTAGAGGAAAGACATTTACCCAGTGGGTAGAAGTCTTTTATGATAGACTCATCCTCATTGAACCTGTTTATGCCAGAGGAAGATAAACAGTGCTTGCTCACTGTTTCTTAGCTCTAGGGATGTGAGCATCACTGGCTGCAGCCACTGTGCCAACTTCATGGCATCTGCATTAAATACAGTGTGACAGTGCTTAAGATGAGAGCACAGAACAGAGGACTCCAGGGCACACTTATGGATCCCAGGGTGCATATGGACCGTTTCCAAGGGGTCTACGGAAGATATTAGGATCATCATATGGAGTATATGTGGAGAAAATTGAGAAATCTCCCACACTTGGGAGTTTTTTGGGCAGCAGCAAATCAGAAGGAACAAGGAGGCATTGGCTTTATCTGTTAAGGTGAAAATCATTGGTAATTCAAGGATGGTGTTAGAAGACTTTTTGAGAGTGTCCCTTGAGCAGGTGAATGGACATAAGCTTTGGTGTGGCAGATGCTCTAAAGAAGTATCTTTACACCTCAGAAGAGCTGAGTTGGTGTTGTGGCTTAACCCAGCAGGCAGCTGAGCACCACAGAGCTGTTTGTTCAGAATTGAGAAGAAAAAAAATGCAGCAGCTCATGGGCTCAGATAAGTAAGGAAGAAAGAAAACAAGAACAACAACAAAATAACAGATGCACAGAAGAATTGCTCACCACCAGTTGCCAATGCCCAGGCAGTCCCTGAGCAGTGGCAGCTCCCTTGGCCAACTCCTCATAGTTTTACTGTTAGCACACGACACCATAAGATACGGATGTCCCTTCGGCCAATTTGGGTCATCTGTGCTGATTCAGTCTCCTCGTAGCTCCTTGTGCCCCTCACTTCTGACTGGCAGGGCAGTGTGAGGAGCTGAAATGTCCTTGGCTCTGTAAGCCCTGCTCAGCAATACCTAAGCATCACTGCATTATCAACATAATTCTCATCCTAAAACCACAACATGGCACTCTACCATCTACTGGGAAGAAAATTAGCTCTATCCCAGCCAAAACCATGAAAGTTAAGTTGCTGCCTCTTGTTTTTTTCCAACTTAACAATGACATTTTCTACAAAATAGAGATATAGATGGCAGTGCTTGGCCAAAAGGTGTCTGGGGAAGAATATGTCTGGCTTTACTGTGGTTCATGTTCCTTTTTTTCCATTCTTAGATCCTACATAGGATCCATCTTTCCTAACTGAAGCATCCAAGTCTGATGCTGAGTTCCTCTCCAAACTCCTCCTGTCAGCAATAGACAGAGAAGAGCAGGAGCAGAACATGAACTCTCTAACTCCAGCACTTGCTCAAGGCATGTTTCAGGATTCATCCTCTAAAGGATATATTTCTTGCCATTAACGCTGCAGGCAATTCAGAGCACAGAGTAGGCCTGAGGCCTAAACGTGGCCGGAAAAATTGTACCCTTCTGTTTTAAAATCTAGCTCAGAAAAGCAAAGATTACGAGAGGAAAGTAAATGAGGACTAACCTCTGTTTAGGAGAGAAGTTGGAGTAATTCCCATTAAGCCAAAGGCCATCATTTCCCTCATGTACCCATTAGCTCAAGGTGATATGGCTCTACTGTAGAAGTACCTGGCTTGGATCAAGAAGACCTGGGGGATCAGAATTAGGAGAAATCTGGTAGTGTCATGAGCTGGAGTTGTTGAGCTCCACTTGTTCAGTGAATACTGGAGCCAGCAAAACCCTTCAAAGGGGAATAGTGAGGATCAGTTAAAATAATTGGGTTGATTTCCAGAACAAATAAACACCAGGTGTGCTTAAGGGCATGGACTGGCAGCAATGATCAAATGTATTTTGCTGGTGTGTGCTCTGGGTTAGGAACCTGTTGAACAGCAGGAAAGGACATGACACAGAAGCTCAGACCTGCAATGTGCTGTTCCTGTTGTTTTGCACAACCTGAAGCTGTATTAAAAAAATAGTAAAACATTATCAAGTCTCTTTGGCATGGAAAATGTTGTGAACTGAAGGCAACAGCCTAGTCAGATCAGAATGGCATCAGTGTTTTGTGACTGAGAAACTTCCACTTGCACAACAATGCTTACACTTAGGGGAAAAAAACAGAACACCAGAGAGGCAGTGATTACTGATGGAGGATGCTGATTAGCTCCTCCAGCTTCCCCACCTGAAAACACAAGATGTATGATACAGCCAATGTGAACTCCATGGGAGGAAGTAGCAGAAATGTGATTACAGATATTACATCCAAACTGAATTAAAGCTGCATTAAAAAACCTCCCATTACTGTGTGGTCTCATGCTATTCTTGAAAAGATGACATGATCTGCTACTGACAGGCCCATAAAGAATATACAAGGGCATACTTCCCATAAAACAGGTTTGATTACTGACTTGCTGATTCACAAACCCACATAAACCAGGGCAGAAAGCAAAATTATCAACAAATCTCCCTGATGTAAATAATCATTAGCAAAGCAGCGATGTCGCTTGGAATTCTTTTTTATTTCAAATATTTGGTTCACATTACCTTAAGCAAATTTAATAACCTCTGTTTCTTCATCTTTAAAAATCAGATAATGAATCTGAACTTCTTTGCGAAAGGCAGACCTACACATAAAAGCAAAAAATTGTTACTTTATGCTGGTTTTAACAAACCTGCTGTCAGTAGACCAATGGTCATTGGCTCAGTTTTCTGTGCAATGCTCTTTTATTCTACAGATTTGA